AGGCTGTGGTGGCCGGGAGCGGCCGCTGCACTCCAGTCTGGGTGACAGAGTGAGACTCCAACTCAGAAAAACAAAACAAAACAAAACAAAACAAAAAAGAGACAGGCATTATTTCCTAGTCTACACCTGGCACATTCAGGCTCTTGGAATATGCTTATTGAATGGGAGAACAAAGGAATGTTTTGTAAGTCAACAAAACTTTCAGTATTATGGCATAAAGGGTTATAACTTTAATACAAAAACACGTTAACTCTAAAAAATTTTAATTAGGCCAGGCTCGGTGGCTCAGCCTGTAATACCAGCGCTTTAGGAGGCCAAAGTGAGTGGATTGCCTGAGCCTGCGGGTTCAAGACCCGCCTGGGTCACTTGGCGAGGCATCATCTCTACAATAAATCAAAAATTAGCTGGGCGTGGTAACATGCGCCTGTAGTTTCAGCAACTTGGAAGGTTGAGGCGGAAGGATCACCGGAGCACAGCAGGTTGAGGCTGCAGTGGCCGGGAGCGTGCCCCTGCATTCCAGTCTGGGCAACGGAGTGAGACTCCAACTCAAAAAAAAAAAAAAAAAAAAGAAAAAAAAATTTTAATTAGAAAAGAAAGATTCTGGAAATAAAAATAGTATAAAAACAGACCAGGTATGGTGGCTCATGCATGTAATCCCAGGACTTTGGGAGACCGAGGTGCAAGTATTGCCTGAGCCCAGGAGTTCAAGACCAGCCTGGACAACATAGCAAGACCTCATCTCTACAATAAAATTTAAAAAATTAACCAAACATGGTGGCACCCACATGTAGTCCCATCTTCTTGGGAGGCTGAGGTGTTGGATCACCTGAGCCTGTACTCCAGCCTGGATGATAAAATGAGACCCTGTTCAAAAAAAAAAAAACTATTTATAAAGATTTCACAAGTCTAGTAAGCCAAAGCTAGCCAATGTACTGGGTTAAATGGTATTCTCACCTCGCCCCCAAAAGTCATGTCTACCCAGAATGTGGAAATGTGACCTTATTTAGACAAAGAGTCTTTGCAGATAAAATCTCATAAAGATGAGGTCACACTGGATTAGACTGAGCCCTAAACCAATAACTGGTGTCTTTACAAAAAGAGAGAAATTTGGACAGGCAGACCCAGAGGAGAGAACAGGCAGAGCCTGTGATGCATCTACAAGACAAGGTATGGCAACCCTTGGCATCATTGCAGCCTCAACCTCCTGGGCTCAGGTAACCCTCCCACTGCAGACTCTTGAGTAGCTGGGACTACAGATATGTATCACACCCGGCTATTTTTTTTTTTTTTTTTAACTTTTTTGTAGAGACGAGGTCTTACTATGTTGCCCAGGTTGGCCTCGAACTCCTGGGCTCAAGCGATCCTCCCACCTCAGCCTCTCAGAGTGCTGAGATTACAGATGTGAGCCACTGTGCTCGGCCAGGAATTTATTTGTATGTCACCAGTTAATCCTAGGAAACCATAGCCCCAGAACTGGGAAAGCTGGAAGGTCTCATCTTGTGCCCACTGTCTTGGTCTCCTGAAGATTCTGCTTCTGCCATGTGAACTAGGTTAAGGTAACTCGCCAATGCCAGGTGATATGCTACACCTCTCTGACAGAGGCCTGAGAGCCCCCTGACAAGGGCAGGACCTGTCTATCTTGGAGATAAGAGACATGGCATGATGACCATCTACTGCTTGTTTATCATCGTTGAATATCAGTCAGAAGATTAAAGAAAAATGCTAGTGTGGTCATTTACCATTATAAGAAAACACTAGACATTTATTTTTGAATTATAATTGTTACGTATACAATAAGCCCCTTACAAACTCTCAAGGCTTATTACTGGACAACGCTATACTAGAAAGTCTGTAGACTTCAATTACAAGGAAAATAAAAGGGTAGAATACTTTGGAATAAAGTTGAGTCAAGAGTAGCTTGTAATTGGATCCAACCTTGGCCAAACTGAGAAGGCTTTGGAGAAATACTTCCTGGGTACAGATTCCACTAGAAGAATAAGGCAGATGACAGTACCAAGTCAGTTCTGTTCCTGTATATATATATATATGTATACTTTTTTTTTTTTTGAGTCGGAGCCTCACTCTGTCACTCAGGCTGGAGTGTAGTGACATGATCATGGCTTACTACAGTCTTGACCTCCTGGACTCAGGCACTCCTTCTGCCTCAGCCTTCCAAGTAGCTAGGACTATAGGAATGTACCACCACACCTGACTAATTTTTCTATTTTTTGTAGAGACGAGGTCTTGCTATGTTGCCCAGGCTGGTCTTAAACTCCTGGGTTCAAGCGATCCTCCTACTCCGGTCTCCCAAAATGCTGGGATTACAGGCGTGAGCCACCATGTCCAGCCAAACCTCATTCTTTTGCATGTAAATATCCACTTGTCTCAGCCCCATTTGTTGAAAAGACTGTTTCCCCTATTTAATTATCTTGTCATCCTCATCACAAATCAACTGAATATAAATGTAAGGGTTTATTTCTGAATATTTAATTCAGTTCTATTGATCTACCTATCCTGTGTACCACACTGTGTTGACACATAACTTTGTAGTAAGTTTTGAAATTGAGAAGTATGGTGCTTCAACTTTGCTGTTCTTTTTCAAAATAGTTTTGGCTGTACTGAGTTTATTTTTCCTTTAATTGCGATATAACTTTTAGGATCAGCTTGCCAATATATGTAATTTAATATACATCAAGGGCCCCTGGGATCTTAAGTGGACTTTGCAATCGGGCTGGCCTTCTGAAGGGTATAAAGCAACCTCACATGAGGTTTTTCTTGTTGTTGTTTTGGTTAGGTTTGGTTTGGTTTTTTGAGACAGGGTCTTGCTCTGTCACCCAGGCTGGTGTACAGTGGCATGATCCCAGCTCATCGCAGCTTCAACCTCCTGGGCTCAAGTGATTCTCCCATCTTAGCCTCCTCAGTAGCTGGTATACAGGCGTGCACCACCACTTGCAGCTAACTTTTTTTTATTTTTGGTAGAGACAGGAACATGCCATGTTGCCCAGGCTGGTCTCCAACTACTGGGCTCAAGCAACCCTCCCACCTCGGCCTCTCAAAGTACTAGGATTACAGGTGTGAGCCATCATGCCCAGCTGTGAGAATAAACTTGAAACAGTGTTTTAAACCACCTAGTCTGTGGTACTTTGTCACAGAAGTCTTAGGAAATGAATATACCCAGAAAATCTCTTTTGTCATTTAAAATCGAAATGGTCAAGCCTCAAGTAGGGAGACACAATACAACGAATAGGCCAGCACCTCAGGTCTCTGAGAACAGAAGGACCAGAAATTAACAGGCCATGCTATCAGGGGACAGTGGCCATAAGCCAGGCTTTTTGTCTCACAGGCCACAGTTGCTGACAGGCAGGCAGATGGGCTGGAGCAAAGGCTCAGGTAGAACTTTCCTGAAAATAAAGCTAAAAACCATGAACTAACAGAGAATGCTGAAAGAGAGAAGGTGACCATGTATTTCCATTTTCAAAGCCTTGTCACAGGGTAGGGAGTCTCAGCCTTTGGAAAGACGCCCTGAGGTCCCACTGCCTTCCTGCAGGAGCTCAGGGTCAGTAGGGCTCATGGGAGCTGAGCAGGCTGGCAGCACACACCTCATTAGAGAACTTTGTCACAGGAGTCTTTGCGTGTGGTAGAAAAGCCTTAAACCTTTGAAAATTTCCATAGACATTCACAAGCAGGTGGGAGGGGACTCTCAGGTGGGAAGGAGTGGTCCTTTATCCAGATGGACAGGAGAAGCAAGCACATGATCTGGGCATCAGCACAGCAGAGGCACCAAGATATGAGAGAGGCAGGGGAGAGGGAGAGGCAGAGAGACAAGAGTAGGGAGAAGAAGAGGGACAGGGACACTGGCAGGGAGAGGGAGGAAGGAGGGAGGGGGGTGGGAGGAAGGGAGGGAGGGAGGGACAGGGAGAGTGACAGGGAGAGGGAGAGGAGAGAAACAGGGACACAGGGAGAGAGAGGGAGGGACAGGGGAAGCGACAGGGAGAGTGACTTGAACAGGAAAAGGGAAAGGAAGGGGCAGAGGGAGCGGGACAGGGACACAGACAGGGACATGGACAGGGAGAGGGAGACAAGGAGAGAGAGGGACAGGGAGAGGGAGACAGAGAGAGAGAGGGAAGGGAAGGGACAGGGACAGGGGGAGAGAGAGAGAGAGAGAATCAATTAGAACACTTAGAAAAAAGTCTACTTTTTTTAAGACAGGCTCTCACATTGCCACCCAGGCTGGAGTGCAGTGGCATGGTCATAGCTCACTTTAACATCCAACTCCTGGCCTCAAGTCATCTCCCACTTTGACTTTCTAGAGTGTGAGCCACCGCGCCTGGCTGTAAAACTCGATTTTAATTTCAGCATACCTGTAATTAGTGTCTCACTTTGAGAAATTGCTTTGTATTTTATGGTTTTAGCATTTTTTTTTTTTCTGGATTATACCTAAGGCCCTAAATTTCTTGATTCGGGCCTGATGGGACATCTTCCCAGAGCCTCCCAAGGGGCTCGACCAGCCCTGCTCCCAGCCACCCTGCCCTCAGGAGTGTCCGTTTAGCCCACCTCCCAGCTCCTACACCTAGGATCTCGACTCACCTGAAGGCAGAAATCTGAGCACGGCCAGGGATCTGGAGTTCCCGCTTCATCTCCTCCATGCTAGTGTGCAGGTAAGTATCCAGCAGATCAAGCCGATTGCTCCGGAAGAGCAGCTCCTTTAGGAAGGACAGGTTGCCCTCCTCCAGCAGCCTCTTCTCCTTGAGTTTCTCGGAGAACGTCAAGAAATCGTTGATGTGCTCCTGCTTCCCCTGTGGAATGTGGTCCAGGCTCAGGAACTTGAGGGCAGCCATATCTTCCCGGCCCAGTTCTTCCCCGATTTTATAAAGAACATTGTTGAAATCCATCTTCTAGAGGTAGAATGTCGTCGAAACCTAGGGCAGAATACAACAGTACGTCCAGATGAGGACAAGCACCACTCACTGACTTGTTCCTTCACCAAAGGCCACTGCATCTACCAGAGGCCAGACACACAATGCTGTGGACACAGAAAACCCACCTGGACACACACAGGACAAGCTTCTGCCTACTGTTTCAAAGGAAGATACGCAAACAAGCCAGTGGTCACAGAGCTGCGACTAGGGTGCAGTAGGAACATAGTGGGAGGCTCCTAACTTAGCATGGGGGAAGGGTTTTTGTGGGAGGGAACCCGTGGGCAGGAGGCAAGAAAGCACAATTCTTTTTTTTTTTTTTTTTTAGTGGGTCTCACTCTGTCGCCCAGGCTGGAGTGCAGTGGCACGATCATGGCTCACCACAGCCTCAACCTCCTGGGCTCAGGTGATCCTTCCACTTCAGCCTCCTAAGTAGCTAAGTCTACAGGTGTATGTCACCACGCCCAACTAACTTTTTTTTTTTATTTTTTAGAGACAAGGTCTCACTATGGTCTTGAACCCCGGGGCTCAAGCAATCCACTTGCCTCAGCCTCCCAAAGTGCTGGGATTACAGGCGTGAGTCACTGCACCTGGCCTCTTGCAGGAAACAATTTATGCAAAACATGGATGTAAGAACTTTCTAGTCAGTTCAGGCAGACACAAGGAGCACAACACAGTAACCACAAAAGGTCTGGGACAGAGAGTGGTGGGACAGAGGGTTGAAGCTGTAGCCAAGAACCAAGTCATACAGGGCCTCATTCTGGGATTGGGGCTTTGTCCTGGAGGCCATGGGGAACTAAGGAAGGATTGTAAAAGGGAGATAATGTCACCCAGTGTGGGACCAACACTTAAAGCAAAGAGGATGGAGCAGAAGACTTGGAGGCAGGGACCTAGGAGGACCCATTTAAGTGGTAGAGGGCAGGAGGGATGGGGTCTGACTGAAACAACAGTGGGAGGACACGCTGCAGTGCTGTCCCCAGAGGGCTTGGGGAACAGTGCCTTCAGCTGCTCAGGAGCCCAAGACCGGAGCCCAGCCCTGCCAGCCTTTCAACCTAAATGGTCTCTGAATCAGGTCATGTAGTATCTTCACATACTTGCATGTTTTTAAGGGTGAGGGCAGTGTCTCAGGATACCCCAGTCAAGCTTTAAGCCAGCAGCCCAGATCCGCAATTTCTCCTTGCCCCCTATCCCCTGGACTCAATCACCTTGGCCAATTTCTCTCCCGCCCTCCGTAGACATGCACAGACTGTGTCCACGGTGAAAGGGGCCCTCGGAGCTGTGTTTGTCCTGGATTCCTCATAGGAACAAGATTCAACATGACTCCCTAGCGCAGGCAACAGCATTGACAAAGCCACACAGCCCAGCACCAGGAAGGCAGAGGTCAAGAGCAGGGGTTCAATCTTAGGTCAACCACTGTGACACAGGCACTGGGCCTCGGACAGCTCCCTTCCTCAAGGCCTCAGTGGCCTCTTTTGTCAAGAGGAGACAGAAAAACAAAACTCAGCTCCTAAGTTTGTTGTGAATATGAGATAATGCCTAGAATGCATCTAGAATAATGCTCAGCAACAAATAAAGGCCCAATAAATTTTAATCTGAAAGAAGGGCAAAGCCCCTGGCCATGAGGCCTAGGACCTTGAGCACTTCTTCCCATTTCCTTAGCTGAAAATGGGACAATTCCGCTGGAGGCCATGGTTTCCAAGCTTTTTAGAGTGGGAGAGTTCTTCGCCAGCATTCTCGAAGCTCCCTGGCCCCTGGGAGGTGGTCCTAGGCTGCCACCTTGAGAACCTTTCCGTTCTCCAGCGCCATCATTTCTATGACTCCACAGATGGTGTATGCTAGGGCACTTTCCTTACCCTGAAACGACCTTAACCTGTTTGGACCTGTCTCCTCCCTTGCAACAAGGCAGGTGGGTTCCTGGATCTCCAAGTAGCCTACATTTGCTAACATTTGTGGATGAAAACCCAAACCAGACTCCAACTCTTGGAGGGAGGGCTCGAGGGAAACACAATCCTTGCACTTGCTATATCTGATACTCAAATAAAAATGCTTTCGAGTTGGACATTAGAATAAATTTTAATATTTTTTAAAGTTTTGAAGGAAAACTTTCAGCTTTTTCTTTCAAAAATATCTTTTTCCTCCCTCTAATTTACAGTAGCAGTGGTTTTTTTTGTGAAAATTGGAAATATAGTTCATTATAATATAGTCACAGTTATCATTATCATATACCACATACACACACACAAAGATACATTGATATAAAAACTGGAATCAGAGGCCAGGTGCGGCGGCTCGCACCTATAATACTAGCACTCCGGAAGGCTGAGACAAGAGGAATGCTTTAGCCCAGGAGTTCAAGATCAATCTGAGCAACACAGCAAGACCTCATCTCTACAGAAAATGCAAAAATTAGCTAGGTGTGGTGGGGCATGCCTGTAGTCCCAGCTACTAGGGAAGCTGAGGTGGGAGGATTGCCTGAGTCCAGGAAGTTGAGGCTGAAATGAGCCAGGATCACATCACTGTAGTCCAGCCTGGGCAACAGAGTGAGACCCTGTCAGAAAGAAAGAAAAGAAAAGAAAAGAAAAGGAAAAGAAGGAAGGAAGACAGAAAGAAGAAAAAAAATAGCCAAATCAGATATACCACAAAATAACCACACTGAGGCAGCTTTTTCAACACATGGTGTTAGAACCATGGAGATGACTTCTTAGAGCAAACTGAAATGGATCCTAACTGAACTCCTTCCATCAAAAGAAACTGCAGATTAATCAAAGACTTAAAACTTAAAATTAAAGTACTAAGAAAAGAAACATAGTAGAATTTTTTTTTAATGGTCTTGTAGTGATGAAGAACCTTTCTAAGTTTAACAGAAAACCTTAAAGCCACTAAAGAAAAGATTGATAAATGTCCTTAAATAATAGCTAAAATATTCTGTAAAAATAACCAAAATAAGCGTAAATATATGTATGTAAACTTTGCACTGGGGGAAAAATAGCAACATATATGATTTAAGGGAGTGAGAGGCAAATTTTTTAAAAATAGAATTCCTATAAGTCAGTTTTAAAGAAAAAGAAAGAAAACCAGTAACTCAATGCACAAACAAGCAAGGCTCACAAGAAAACACTTCAGAGGAAAGTACCAGTGGTTTTCTATTTTAAGACCAATGACTTTTAAACATTTAAAAGATGCTCAACCTCATGTACAATAAGGAAAAACAAATTTCCAGCCCAGGCAACATAACAAGACCTCGTCTCTATAAAATAAAAAAAATTGGCCAAGCGTGGGGGCATGCACCTTTAGTCCCAGCTACTTGAGAGGTTGAGGTGGGAGGATTGCTTGAACCCAGGAGTTTGAGGCTGCAGTGAGCCATGGTCACATCACCGTGCTCCACCCTGAGTAACAGAGTGAGACCCCGGCTCTAAAAATAAAAATTTTTTAAAAAGTAAAAAGTTGGAAAGTACAAAAATTATAACACAGTGTTGTGGAGATGGTGGAAATAAAAACAGGTAGGGGATACAGGGCACAATGTTCACTATCTGGGGAATGGGCCACCTGAGACCCAATCCCCACCACTACACAATACGTCCATTTAATGAAAACACACATAGCCCTGAACTAAAATAAAGAAAAAAATGTAAAAATTTCAATTAAGGCCGGTCGCGGTGGCTCATGTCTATAATCCCAGCACTTTGGGAGGCCGAGGTGAGAAGATTACCTGGGCTCATGGACTCGAGACCAGCCTGGGCAACTTGGTGAGACTTCATCTCTACAATAAATAAAAAAATAAGCAGGGCATGTTGGTGCATGCCTATAGTTGCAGCTACTTGGAAGGCTGAGGCAGAAGGATCGCCTGTGCCCAGCAAGTTAAGGCTGTGGTGGCCGTGAGGGTGCCACTGTACTCCAGCATGGGTGAGGGAGAAAGACTCCAACTCAAAAAAAAAATTTAAATTAAAAGAAAAAAACAGGTAAGGGAGAGCTGGGTGTGGTGGTGTGCCTATAGTCCCAGCTACTTGGGAGGCTGAAGTGGAAGGATGTCTTGAGCCCAGGATTTTGAGGCTGCAGTGAGCTATGATTGAGCACCGCCTAGGTGACAGGGCAAGATATCTTCTCTAAAAACAAATAACAACAAAACAGGTAGGTGGCTAATTTATCCATCTCTGTCAAAATATAAAATGCACATACACTTTGGCCCCACAATTTAACTTCCAAGAGGTTTTCCTACATTCAGTTAAGCATATGTATAATTTAAAAAATATGTGAAAATCATTTTTTAAAATTGTGTATTTATTCTTAAGTTTAAACTTCAGTCACCTTCAAAGTACTCTGTTTTTGATGCAATACACCTACTGAGACACTTTTTCCACTGTTCAAAACAGTTTTTGAACTCATCAATTTCGATGCCCTTTGGTGCTTCTGCTGATTTCTTGTTTTGTTTTGTTTTTGAGTTGGAGTCTCTCACTCTGTCACTCAGGCTGGAGTGCAGTGGCACGCCCATGGCCACTCCAACATCGACCTGCTGGGCTCTGGTGATCCTTCCACCTCAGTCTTCCATGTTTTTTGTTTCACTTCTTCCACATCGGTAAAACATTTCCATTTGAGAACTTGTTTCATCCAGGGAAAACAAAAAAAAAAGTTGTTCAGGGCGAGATCGGGTAAATAGGGATGGTGGGGTACAGGGGTCATGCCACTTTTGGTCAAAAACTGCTGGACACTCAGCACAGTGTGAACAGATGTGCTCGTAAATCACCCATCAAGAACTGGGCAAACGTGTTGAAAAAAATCTCCAAAAAAAATTCACTAAAGTCAAATGCAACCTCTCTCAACAAACACTAGCTGGTACACTGACGCCGATGGGTTCCTAGAACACTTACCTAGTAGGGGAAGCCTGTACTATCAGGAGCCCGCCCTCCAAGAGATAATTCCAGTTTGGGGGGCTGATCCCCCAAGGTACATACGAATATTCACAGTAGCATTGCTGGAAACAGCAAAAGAGCAGAAGCAACTGTTTATCAGTACAAGAAGAATTGGATAAGCTCCTAGGCATATTCGACGGGACTCTGACCAGTACTAGAAAGAAGAGGAAGATGGAAGCACTGAGCATGCTCCGAATACATGTACTGATGGGTGTGGGCGTGTATGCGTATGTACTCACAGAAGAGCTCTGATCAAAACCACCCAGAAAGTTGCTTCAGTAAGGCCTAAGGAAAGAGAACCGCAGAGAACCATGGGCGGGGGTGACAGTGATTCTTGCTTTGCATTCCCCACCCTTTGATACTGTTCCCACAGTGTGAGTCTACCATGTGCACATGTGACTCATCCTAAATGTATACATCCATAAGTTAAAATCTCTATTTAAGGACCCAATTGCACTCGTGCTGAAAAGGCTCCCAACTAGGTCCAGCCCGGTTTGGTGTCTTTGGTCAATTCCTTTTGGATTTTAAATCCAGTCGAGCGCAGTGGCTCATGCCTATAATCCCAGCACTTTGGGAGGCAGAGGTGAAAGGATTCCCTGAGCCCAGGGGTTCGTCTTTACAATAAATCAAAGATCCCGTCTCTACAATAAATCAAAAAATTAGCTGGGTGTGGTGGCATGTGTCTGTAATTCCAGCTGCTTGGGAAGCTGAAGCAGAAGGATTGCCTATGCCCAGCAGGTGGAGGCTACGGTGGCCGTGAGCATGCCAAGCATTCCAGCCTGGGTGACAGAGTGAGACTCCAACTCAAAAGATTCTAACCTCTGTTAAAATCTCATTTTACAGAATAAAATCAAACAAAGAATAAAAGAAAGCAAGACTTCCTTTTTCTTCCCCACAATTATTTTTTTCTGAAGATAACAATGCTTATTGTATTCATTTTAGAAAACACAGAAAAGATACAAACAAAAATTATATATAATTTACATATAGGATACATACCTAATAAGATTTTACTCTCTCCTACCAAATACTTTATGCATGTATATTTTTCCTTATATTTGGACACATCATATTTCTGTAGTATAAGTGGATTGTTCCACTGAAGAGTACATCTTGGATTGTAAATACATCTTAATGTCTTTATTTTTTCTTCTACAGCATGGGAAAGCATTTAATCATATGGATGGACCATCATTTACATAACCAGCTCCTAAATTACATTAAGGATGATCTTAAAATGTAAATCTCCAAGTAACCCCCTGATTATTTTTTTGGACTAACTTCCTAAAAGTAAGGAAATTAGTCTTATTACATCAATAGCATTTTCTGATAGTAGATCATAAAAATCCACACAACGCTAGGCCAGAAGGACCAGCTCTGCTCTCCGGAGTTTGGACAATGTGATTGGCACTTAGCGTTGGCTCTGAGCACAGTGTCTCACTCATTTCATCATCTTTGCAATAAAGTGGCAATGCTTTTTAAGTGGTTTTCTTCATCAAACCATTATTGACACTTAGGAGGGAAAATACTGATGTGGGTTTTTTGCTGGTCCAAGTTTTCTAGGACACACTGTCGTGTGGCCGTCTTTTCCATGTTTTCTTTTTGTTTAGGTCACATGTGGCTCTAGTAGTGCCCAGGAAACAATCACTCACACAGGGCTTAGGATACCATTAACAGCAGCGACATCAGTGCAGGGACCATGCGGTGGTTCTTGTTTTATGGAACCTACATTCTCTGCATGAATTTGTGGGTTAGAACCTTTGTTAGGCTAATTTTTAAAAATAGTTTTTGTCGTTGTAGTTTTTGATCCTAAAAATACTAAAAGTAACACTTGTTCCATAGAGAAAGCGCAGAAAAGGATAAAAAGAAAAAAAAATTACTTTAAGATTTGCCATTCAGAAGTAAATCTTTGGTCATATTTTAGGATAAATTTGCAGGATGGCATGCATACTGCAAAGTATAATGAAGAGGACATGAAAATGAAATTGGAGATTTGTATATACTGACAAAAATCTAGTAAGTTAGAAATGCAATGGAATACAATGTCACTGGAGAGAGTTATTATTCGAAAAGAATCTAAACATTAAAAAAAAGAAGTAAATCTTTGGTCATATTTTGTGACTTTTTCCCAATTCTATTCACATACAAAAATATATATATAAAACATAAATTTAAATATTTTGCTAAGGTAGATATTTGATATTTTATATAACATCTTTTAAATAATAAATTGATATAAATATATTTGCATTATCTAACTACATCTACTATTTTATATTACTGCCCCAAGTATTTAGATGTAAATTAATAAATGTTTATAATACATAAATGCTTACAACCTATATATCCTTATAAACATACTTTTTTTTTCTCATCTCATTGGACTACAAACTTCTGGAGGAATTGTTATTTTTATTCCTGTTTTACCACTGTGAAAATCACAGCTTAGAAATAAGCTAGCAAGGGAAAGAGTTAGTTTCTCACTCAACAGCTACACACAATAACAGACCCCTGTAAAGATTTTGATTTTATTCTACTCATAGCTAGAAGATGGTGAAGGAATTTTATGAAGAAAGACATAAAATCATAACATTCTTAGCTATTAAATTTTTTTAAAGAGCCAAACAACAAAACTACAAAAACAGGAGTTCTTAATGAATCCACTATAGCAGAGCATCAGAACCTTACAAAAAAAGGTGCTGGAGTTTGGATTAAAACCTTAGCATCTCATTTCAGAGTTCCATGCTACCAGTGCTTTTTTTTTTTTTTTTTTTTGAGTGGGGTCTTACTCTGTTGCCCAGGCTGGAATGCAGCTACATGACCACAGTTCACCACTGCCTTGAACTTTTGGGCTCAAGCCATTCTTCCACCTCAGCCTCCCTAGTAGCTGGGACTACAAATGCACACCACTACACCCAGTAAAAATTTTTATTTTTTATTGTGTAAAGATGACGTCTTGCTATGTTGCCTAGGATGGTCTCAAACTCCTGACCTCAAGGGATCCTCCTGCCTCAGCCTCCCAAAGTGCTGGGATTATAGTGAGCCACTGCGCCTGGCCTACCACTGTCTTACATGCCACAATTTAACTGCAAACAAATTCCATCTAATCACAATCATTCTAGTAATAGTCTAGTAGCATCTTTAGCTCTTCAGTGATATGCATAACTATCCCACAGGTGTGTTAGCCTTTTGAGATAAAAATCTGCATTTTGGCTGGGGTGGTGGTGTAATCCCAGCACTTTGGGAGGCCAAGGCGAGAGGATTGCCTGAGCCAGGGATTCGAGACCAGCCTGGGCAACTTGATGAAACCTCATCTCTACAATAAATCATAACAACTAGCGGGGTGTGGTGGCATGCATCTATAGTTCCAGCTACTTGGGAGGCTGAGGCAGAAGGATCACCTAAACCCAGCAGGTCGAGGCTGCAGTGTCTGTGAGCGTGCCACTGCACTCCAGCCTGGGCAAAAAGAGTGAAACTCTAACTCAAAAAAAAAAATCTGCATTTCATATAAAACTTGGGAGTATCTGAAAGCTGCCCGTTCTTAGGCCTAAATCTTTAACTGTTACTAATCACCTGTCCTTGGGTCCAGGCTGGCCTCCCCAGATCCTGAGCTGCCCCCAAACCTGATAGGTGTTCACTCTGCACACAAACGCTGTCTACAGCAGGGCCCTGCAGCCGGAGTGTTCAAACAACCCCACAAAGGTGTTCAAACCTCAACAAAACGTATCATCTCATAACTTTCTTTTTTTTTTTTTTTTTTTTTTGAGTTGGAGTCTCACTCTGTCGCCCAGACTGGAGTGCAGCAGCCACTCCTGGCCACCGCAGCCTCTATCTACTGGGCTCCGGCGATCCTTCCGCCTCAGCTTTCCAAGTGGCTGGAACTACAGGCGCATGCTACCACGCCCGGACAATTTTTTTGATTTATTGTAGAGGTGAGGTCTCACCAAGTTACCCTGGCAGGTCTCGAACCCGTGGGCTCAGGCAATCCTACTCACCTCAGCCTCCCAAGGCGTGGGATTACAGGCTGAGCCACTGAGCCCGGCTCATCTCGTAACTTTCAAACAGAATTAAATTCATAACTTCACCTATAAATGCTTAACCTCCCAAGTACAGGTCTCTGATATGGTCTGTCTAGGCTTCCCCATCTTATTATTTGGGGGCTGTTATATATCTTCCTAATTTCCCCAAAACAGAAGTAATTGAATTGATAGGACTATGTGGATAGGTGTGTGTTTATGTCAGCAGACATGTGTTAGTGGGCATGGGTGAGGATGGGGGGACTGCTGTAGCTACAGAGCCAGTGAAGATTTACATCTCAGCTTCTATTCTTTGACAGGTCAGGCTGGAATAAAGATGAGGCCTTTGTACGGTTGCAGCATTTCAGAAACCCTCGGAACCACATCGATATAGGCCTGAGGGGCCCTGGGCAAAGCTCTCAGAGAGACTGCTGCCTCCCACAGCTAACCTCATGGTTCCTGTGTCTACACCCAAGGATCGCCTCCAGGCCCAAGGCCAATAGATCCCACCCTCAGCAGCCTGGAAAACTCTAGAACCGAACGCCATTCTTCCCAAAGGCCCAGCTGACCTTAACGAAGACACAGATCCTTCCCAGAGTCTCTTGCAATGGCAGCACCTTCTCCACAGGCCTCCACTGCCCGTCTGTGCGTCCAAAACAAGGGTGAAAGCCTAATGAACGGAAGGGCACAGCCTACTCAACTTCCTGTTTCTGAAACTACTGTGTCACAAAGCAGAAAGGCACCAACGGAAAGGTGTGGCCAGCCTCACGATGGACAGACTCCTTCTAGAACTGCAAGACAGAGGTCCGTGGTCAGGAGACAGGGGCCTGGGCAGAGAACCTGGCCACCAAGCTTGACTGACTTCTGACTTTGGTCCTCCTCGAGGCCCCGTTTTCACATTCCAGAATGAGGAAGTTGGACTGGATAATAACTAAGAATGCTTTCTTTTCATATTTATGGTTTTAAAGGTTTTTCTGGGTTCAATTTTTTCACTTCAATTTTTTATCCAATGAACACTGATGGCACAGCTCAGAGAGGCCTTGTGATCTGGACTCTGCAAGGCTGCATCGAGGTTCTCCAAATGTCTGCTCACTTACAGAACTGAAGTTCATGCTTAAGCCAGGAAGGATCTCTGTGGCCCCAAGGCCACCAGATCTTACCTTCAGAAGCCTACGAAACTCTAAAATCAAAGGTCTTTCTTCCAAAAGGTCAACGTGATCTTACCAAAGAGACAAGTCCTGGTGCTCTCACCATGCTGGGCTCTGGGGATATAACAGTAAACAAAACAAACATAGGCCCCTCCCCTCATACTATAAGTTAGTTGAAATGTTTTCTGATGTTAAAAGTATGAATAGAAAATCAAGCATCTCTCTACTTTGAAACTGCCTTTTGTCTTTCCTGAGATAGAATAAAGCTTTCAGGCCCAGTGCAGTGGCTCATGCCTGTAATCTCAGCACTTTGGGAGGCCTAGGCAGGAGGATCTCTTGAGGACAAGAGCTCAAAACCAGCCTGGGCAACACAACAAAATCCTGTCTCTCTCTCTCTCTCTCTCTCTCTCTCTCTATATATATATATATATATATTTTTTTTTTTTTTTTTTTTTTTTTTTTTTTTTTTAATTAGCTGGGCATGGTGGTACATACCTGTAGTCCTAGCTGAGGCTGAGGTGGGAGGAT